AAACGTTAAACGGTGGAGTGCCGCAAGGGTCGGTGTTAGGGCCGGCTTTGTTCCTTGTTATGATAAATGATCTTCTTATTGATTGGAGCGATAGATGGAAGTATGTTGATGACAGTACGTTTGCTGAACGAGTTACGTCAACTGAGAGTAGTGAACTACAAGATCTAGTGAATGTTATCTATAATTGGTGTGAAGTTAATAATATGAAGCTCAACATCGGTAAATGTAAGGAAATGTTAGTTGACTTTGCAAGAGAAAAACATGAGTTCTTACCGTTAACTATAAATAACGTTGGTATTGAGCGGGTAAAATCTGCCCGAATTCTTGGTCTTTCAATTCAAGATGATTTGAAATGGAACGAGCATGTGAACCATATTGTTAAAAAAGCGGGAAAACGCTTTATATGCTAAGGTTGTTAAAACGATCAAATGCCGACAATAGCATTCTAATTTTGGTATACTGCACCATTATCCGGCCAGTACTCGAATATGCCTGCCAAGTTTGGCACTTCAATATTACAGAATACCTAAGTGAAGATATCGAAAAACTCCAGAAGCGGGCTCTGCGTATTGTCTTGCCATTCGCTACTTACAGAGAAGCTTGCAGTATTACTGGTATACCCTTACTGAAAGATCGGCGGCCATGCGAACGTTTTTTTGTTAAAAATGCACATGGAGACAAATTGGGTGACCTCTTACCGCCTAAACTTGATCATAACTATAATACACGTTATGGAAGCGTTTATAATAACTATAGTTGTAAAACTGACAGATTTATGAAATCGTTTTTTCCACAGATGGTTTCACATATGAATAGACCATAATTTTAATATTTTTAAATTTGAACTCTATAACTTTTTCAACTGAAGTTATGAATAATATTATGCATTTCATATTGTAGTATAATGAGACTTTTTACTGATGTAATTTAACCTAAAGGTTACAAATCGGTATTTTATTACTGAATTAAATTATATAAATTAAATTATTATTCAAGTGTATAAATCATGGATGATTCCAATTCATTACGAATATTTCTTACTCTTATTCTTTAAAATATTAAGAGGCAATTTTTTTTCAATGTCACGTATTTGCAATGAAAAGTGTTCAAAACCTAAAATCTTTTTGGCGTTCCTCTCAAAATTACTTTGTTTTAGCTTTATTCTCTACAGTTTATAGAGTTAGCTACCTTTTTAAATGCGTCTGCCGGTTGAGAAACATAAAATAACAGTTAAAAATTGCCAATTAAAATACAATTATCAATAATGCCTTAAAATTGACGCTATATTTACAGCCATATCTGGTTTAGCCTAAAATATCCTTAAAGATATTATTTTGCAGTGTGCATTAAAGGGATATTTTTTGTCAAGAGAACAGTTTCGTTAACATTTGTATAGTTGGGAAAAAAAATTGCATGTGAGAAGACATATTTAAAAAAAACATGCATACACAGCTGACAACCTGGAAGAAAATGCAAACAATGAAAATCCTCCCACCCCATCACTTTTCTAATGGTCCGTCCCTTATGGTGTAGTTTTTAACTGCCAGGCAGAGAAGTGAGAGAACTTAAAGCGTGGTACTGTACCATGCATTAAACATACTCTTCAAACACTCATTAATAATTCATAAGCTTATTGGCAAATCATGTCAACCATAATATGTCACGTGCAGTGGCTTTAAACCTGATAAAACACTCCTAATTAGTATTCTTTATATAAAGGATCAGTACTAGTAAGGCAGTATCTATTGTAGTCGTGTCTCATTAGTATTCTTTATATAAAGAATACTAATAAGGCAGTATATCTATTGAATTTGTAGTCGTGTTTGAAGCCGTTTAATAAACTAGCTAACAGGTCGTGTTTTATTAGGTCTAAAGGAGTAAAGCTTTAAACCTAATAAAACACTCCTGCTCGTTTATTAAACAGTACTTAATAAACCTATTATTATTATGTTATTTTATTAGAATCTACTTTTCCGTGAAATTGCTTTTTTATGACACGTGAATCGTGAAACGGCTTTTTTTTTCGTTGTGAAACGTAATCCATACCCCCTTTTCCCACCCTCTTTAATCCGCGGTGGAATAGGATTCCTCCTGGCAAATATGATCGAGATGCAAAAGACTTTAATAGAATTGTTTACTTCTGAAAAGCGACTCTATAGTTTTGCGCGCGAGTTCACTCATTTACATCTGTCAGAAACACAAAATCACCGTGATTTGTCTGGGACAAAATTGCTAGTGTGAACCAGCTTGCCGCTTGGGGTAATTAGGATTTTAAATTTTTGCATCTCGGCGATCTCGCAAGCGATATCCATGTTTATATAAATCAACATGTGTCCAATCCAGTGAACTCAATTCATTATTTCATTTGGTCCAATCATAGGCGTACGGGGCCGCTAAATTCTGGGGGGGGGGGGCGGTAGCTTTTTTGCCCAAAAAATTCCACATTGCCCAAAAAATGTCAATATATTTATACAACTAATCCGGAAAAATTATTTTGGCGACCTCCCATTTTAGGGGTCAAAAAAATTTTCCGGACAACCAATATTTTTCGGAACATAACACAAATTTTCCAAAAATCACAAAATTTGCCAAAAAATTTACTTAATTTTAGACAAAATTGACAGAATTTGTCCCAGTTTTTTTAATTGCAAACAAAAATTGCCCGACTGTTGATCGAATATTGCCCGACTGCCCAAAAAACTGGGATATTGCCCGACTGCCCAAAAAACTGGGGGGCTACCGCCCCCCCGCCCGGTACGCCTATGGGTCCAATCTCGTTCCCGAAGCATGCCCGTTCGCCAACCCCCACTTGCGAATGACGTTTGCACGTCGTTTGGACACATGCCGCTCGGCATGCGACGCGGATATGAGGGATCATATGGGTACAATGGTGGTTATCAAAGACAGGTGGGACTTGTCAATTTCAAGTTACGCAATACATCAACAGGTTTTCTACACTTTCCTAGCTAGATTTTAAATCGACCTGGCTGTCGAAAATATTAGGATTATATTTCATATTGTTATGTTTCATCAACAGCTGGCTGTTGGATAATATTTAGATCTAATTTTTATCGATCTTATATAAAGTTAATAATCAAAAATTGACTTCTTGGATATTGATTGGCTGAAAAGCACTTAGCGATGGACTGCTATAAAGCCATGTTTATATGAATATGCAAACTACGTCTGATATTGCAATTCAAAACATATTAAATCGACAAACAGCTGTATTACCGTATTTTTCGTTTTGGACGTGGCGAAGGAAGGACATACCAAGGAAGGGCGATTTGTAAGAATTAAACAGCAATGTCGGCAGAAGAAACTGCCCAAGACGAAAATATCGAACCGCTTGACAACGAGGCCATGGCGCAGCTACCCTCGCCAGGGAGAAGGGTAAGCCATGTATTTTTACGCAAACAAACGATTTGAATGAGAAATATGGCTTATAAATGAGTTTGTATATTCTTCTTTAGCCTCGAACAAGCTCCCTGCTTCAAAGATTGGACGACGAAAGAGATACGCCTGACCCAGTAGCGCAATTTTCTATTCCAGTTGACGAGACAGAAATTAAAGGTAATTTTTATTCATTGAGAAGTTCGTGTTTTGTTTAAGTTTTCAATGTACACGATGAGAATATGCCGCTGTCTGTGACTTTGTTCTTCTCCCTCGAATACAGTATGTCTACAAGTTCTGGTTTAATGGGCTTATGGCTTTTAATAAATTTGACATCGTGTCTATAAATATTCTCTTGCTGAATTGCTTGACGAAAGACGAAATTATTGTCTTCGATATCTATTCAACACAGCCATTTTTCAGTTGCATAATTCAATTGCGTGATTATATAACCATTTGCACCGATGTGAAACAAAAAGATTTATGAGCATTGTCTTTTCTTTCTAAAGAAAATCACGACATTTTTATTCCACATCTTCTACGACTTTCAGCGATACTGTTTTTAGAAGGACAGGTTATTTTACTGGACAATTTGACAACGGCTTTTGTTTATCTGGGTTTTTTTCAGTATTGATATAGAATAACCGGCATTTTACAATATTGCTATTGCTTTTGGAGTTGATATGCTCGAGGGTATGCTAGTAAATATAAAATGAAACTGGACATTCAGAATCATGTATTTGCAAAATTGGGAGCAATTTTATTGGTTTAAGGTATCAAACAAACTCAATGAAACACTCATGTCAAGTGTTTTATCTTGTCAAGTGCAGTCAACCTTGCGTTCTCTAATTCTATATTATCCTTGCAATCCAAAACATCATGTGTAGCCAATATAAATGTTCGCCTTGGTCTGTTGTGCCCCTACTATTAAAAAGCATGTTCTTTGTACAAAAATTGTACCAAACTCTTAGCTTCCTGTTGTATGCAAACCCAGCTTCCTGTAATACACAAACCCCCAGACAGATAGATATAAATATTTTGAGAAATTCAAGAGCAGTGAATTAAAGTACAGTAACTTGCTATCATTATGGGTTTAAGTAGTTATACAATTACAAAGTCTTGTGCAATGATAAAGTGTTCAGGATATTCAATTTATTCCCACTGATTTCACATAAAAATATATATTTAACACTTAGTTACTGGATTGAGGGAAACACTGTGTTTTGTGGACCCGAGACTGCCAATTGAGTCTAGTCAATAACTATCTTATAATGTACCAGTCAATTCCAACTGCGATCATCCCCCCGGGCGAACCCCCGGGAATTTGACTTTTCGAAAAAAATTTGGGTCAAATTCCCCACTGTGTGGGCGAAAACCATTGTCAAATTCCCCAGGGTGCGGGCAAAAACATGGTCAAATGCCCCTCCGGGCTGGCCAGATATCCATGACTGTTTATATTTAATGTGTACTGAAAGAACATTATATCATTAATCATCACAAATTAATTATATCATGGACAAAGGTGAAAGTTTTTAATAGAGGAACCATTAAATTTATGTCATGTTGTTTTTTGTTGTTTTTTTGCAGTCTTGTTTTGTTTTTGAGATAAATTCAGTAAAACAGGAAGCAACAACAGCTTTTTTAACGTCCCTGTTCTTGTTCCAGACTTTGAACAAAGGCATATTTAAATGAATTTATATAAAACGTAAAATTTACATATAATTTTCAGCATGAATACTTATAAAGATGTGTAAAGATGCTCTAAAGATGACAAATTTTTTTGTGTGTAACTACCAATTTTATGTGACTGTGGACCGAGTCAAATGCCCAACGGGGCGGACTCAGATTCACGTCAAATTAATTCCTGCCTGTGCGAGATTAAACTCTGGTCAAATGCCGGGGAGGGGGGATGATCGCAGTTGGAATTGACTGGTACATAAAATGGAAAAGACGCCAGAAAGCTCCCTCCGTAATTTTGCTCCATAACTCAACAACTTTATTATTCAAGTACTGTCCACCACTCAGAGTTGTTGCCAGGAAACAGTCAAATTTCATAACTTTCACATGATATGCTCTTGTCCAATGAGTCTCAAGAACACATGAACTTTGAAACTTGGTATATAATAATCTCACTCAGCTATGCAATTTTACCTTTAGAGAAGCAATTGTTTCAATACATAAATAATTAATTAAAATTTATTGACTGCAGGAAACAATATGTTTTCTGCACCCAAGACTGTCAATCATAGCAGGAGTTTCAACACAGCACTTGTGACAGTTACCAAAATACAGTACAGTGGACACAACAATTTGCCGCACGGTGTAGAAATTTTGAGAAATTTCAATGATTTTACTTTGTGTAGATGTTGCTAATTTTTTGCAGTTTGTGTGTAACTGTCATAAATATAATTTAAAATCTCTATATGCAGAAGAAATACAGAAAAATAAATTTCTACCACAATTATAAACCTGTCACCTAGCTATGAAAAGTGTCACAGAATTGGTGAAAGATGCTGTACAGAGCTGCTGTGCTTTCTTTTTGACGTCATTGCTGTGGAGTGGTTTTATATGGAAATTCCAGTCATGCTGTCAATGTACCCCGAGGCGACGCCGAGCATAATTTTTGCTCCATAACTCAACAATCTTATTATTCACCGGTTGATTGAATATTATTCCCCATGCAGACTTTTCCCAGGAGTCGAATTTCATGACTTTCATGTGATAGTTTGACACTTAGTGTATAAGAAAGGCATTAATACCTTCCATTGCCTGGGACGTAACTGTTTTTAGGTGCATCTGTCAGACCAATTTAACCCTAGTGTGGGTATGGTGGCATCAGCAAGGTTTACATCTGGTACAAGCTTGTACAAGTACAAGTTCCAGGGTAACAAGGGGTCACCCCATCAAGATTCTGTTGGCATCTCACTCATTTGAATAACAGTTAATAAGTGTAGGGCTGCCGGGTTGATTCTTGCCAGGGACTTAAATTTTTTGCAGTTGTTCCTGGTTAGGTCTAATGAATGTATATAAATTTCCACTTGATAATTATTTCCATCTTCAATATCATTTTAATTATCATTTTGATAATTTTCGTCTTGACACTTCAAAAATCTTTTTTTGAGCCAAGTGGAACATACGATAATTGGAACAAGTTCCAAGTGGAACAAGTTCCAAGTGGAACATATGGAAAAAAATTTTTGCAGCCAAGTGGAACATACGATAATCTACCTGTGCCACTGGCACAATATTAGTTTACCACTGTCTGAGATCTTGATATAATTTAAAATTAAATTATTCAACACAGTTAGAAAGATGGAGGGAAGGGGTTCTGCAGAAATATGTGGACAGTTTTCCTTAATTTTATTTCTGCTAATGAATAATGTCCTTATATAAATATGCCTTGGTATATATATTATACATATCATATATTATGGTGTCAAATATTTGCTCCATTTAAAAATTAAAAGATTTTTAAAAACATAAAAAAATGTATGGATATGGATGAGAATAGCATGTCAATAGCTGCAAACCTGCAATTTATTGCAATCAATTTAGTTACATTATAATTATTATTGGGGAAAAGTCAGTGTATATTTCTTGATATTGAACAAATCAATGTAACTAGGGTTTTTGCAATCTACAATAAAAATGCAGGCAATATGTTTTTGCAAATACATGTGTACTTAAACCTTTGTCTACACATTTAAGGAAATAAAATAAATTATATTGAAATCACCTCTTGATTTAAGTTGCATGATATTGCTTCAAATTTTGAAATGTAGAATTATGGTATTGCGCAAGTTTTTTCACACGAATATGAGCATACCTAATCAGGTAATCTATATTTTCCCAATAATTTATGAAATATGCAATATGCAATATACAGTCTAGCTCTAAATTCCGTTTTCCGTCCGCCATCCGTCTGTCCGTATCCGCGTTTTAACCTTCACTGCACGGCAACTGTTCACGATTTGTGCCAGTTGTTCTCTACTGAAGTATGATCACAGTTCATCCAATAAATGCATTTACAATAGTAGGATTGCAGCTGGCTCGCAGCGGGTCTCGTGTGTTATCTCTCAAGCCTCGATGAACTACAACAAAGCAGGGATTACTTTAAGTGCAGTCATAACCCATTTGTACAGTGAGAATGAGATTTGTGCAGTTATTAAGGCAAATTTGTGCAGTAATAATATTTTCTTTAGTATTCAAATGTCGTGAAAGGGCCACTGATGGCTCATCAGAAATTTTATTCAAAAGCACAATAATAACTTCTTATTAATTAACCGAACGCGAGGTCTGTATAGAGACAACAACAATTTTTTTTTATTTACCTACATATAAATATTTACAGAAAATTTTAACAAGTTAGATATTTAAAAGTGTAGAGGTACGTACTGGCTTCCCAAAATAACTAAAAAGCTAAAAAAGTTAGGAAGCCAGGAAACATAAATTAAGTTACATCACAGATCGAAGATACAGTACTCATTATACACAAAAACACAAAACTATACTATATTTACACATACACTGATACAAGTTCTACCACAGTTTTCATTATAATAAAAAAATGAAACGAGGAGCTGAAATCAGTCTTAATATTGGATCTTCTTACAAATGGAGAAAAAACAAAAAAGTATCAATGTTTACTTAAAAATTCTTTTCTTAATTTTTTTTTTAAATTTCATTATAATCGGACCGAGGAATATCGGACCGAGGTCTTTTTTGTACAGACCGAGCCCGTAGGGCGAGGTTTGTACAAAAAGACCGAGATCCGATATTTCTCTGTGTATACCAAGCAAGCGAGGTTAATAAAAAAGTTTATTATATGGCATTTATAAGCATTTATACTTGAAACAAACAAGAAATGCATGATTGGAAAGACATATATTAGTAGCGTGGTACCATAGATATCTTATATACACTAGATAGCGCATCTCTTTTAGTAAAATTGAAGCCAAGAATATTCCAGCGGTTACCCCCATTTGAATAGATGGCGGCCATGTTGGAGTTTCCCACTCGCTAATAAACGCTTAAAAAACAACAATAACTTTCATCATTTGAATAATTTGAAAATGTAATTGGAATAGGTTTATTCCTCATTTCATGGGAATATCCTGAGTCTGCAATCACGGCTTCAATTTTTGAATTGCAGAATAATTAGATGCACTATCTAGTGTATATAAGATATCTATGCGTGGTACACATTTGGTCGAAGAAAACAAAAGTATTCCAATGTATTCCTTCTTTCCCACTAAAAACCATTCGCAGATATCTTATTAGTGACAAATTAAATTATAATTTTCAGATTTTCAATGAGTTTTGCTGTTTTGTTTTAAAATGCATGCGTTTGTTTTTACGTAATGGACCGCTGAAAGTGCTTCTAAACCAATCACAGTCCGCCGTTTCACTAGAAGTGATGCTTGCCATATAATAATTGTTCGTAATCTTCGTATTACCCATCATTCGGCAAATAGCCAAATACATGGATACGAGAACAAAAGGTGGCTTTAATAAGTTAAATGACGCTTAAAATCCTTAAATCAAAGGTGTTTAACGTTATATATAGTAAGTTGA